TTGGAGTATTGGCCCTCTAGTAGACATGATTTTATTTACCTCTCTTTGATGCATTCTGCTTTGTTGAACCATGCTGCCTATAAAGGGACTTTTGCCAGTACTTGTAATGGGCCTGACCTGTACAGAGCAGAGTGGACTTATCTTTATTGGTCAGAGCATAGCACTTCTGCTCAGTCCCGTTTGTTTGATTAGAAGTATCTTGTTGATTCCTGTTCAGCTCTGTCAGTCACACCTGCCATTTACTTTCCAGGTGACTGTCAGGTTTGATCTTGATTTCATCTGGTCTGTCTTTGTATATTGATGCTCTGAATTTTCATTATAAGGCTTTCCATTTGTTTAACTTTCACGTTAAGAGCTCAGTAGATCAGTCTGGCCTGTCAGAGCCTGACAGTCCAAACTTGGTCTTCCATTTTCAGCTGTCCTTCCTGGTGATGTCAGTTATAGGCGGCTGGGTAAAATGAGATACCGCAGGCTAACCATCAGGTCCCTGCGGATGCTTGTCTTTGGTTAGCGCATTTTGGGAATTGTTTATGAATCTATCTAGTTAAGTCTCAAACTGACGCGCCACCCACTGCTCCTCACAGTATCACACTCTCGGACTGTACATTTGTTTCTTCAAATTCTAATAAATGGACTCATACACAGTGTTAGTCAGCTTGCAAAACACTGGCGTGACAAAAATGTCCGAGGAAAACAGTCTATAGTAAAATGTTTCAACTCACAACTTAAGAGGTTTTCACTGATGTCAGCTGTATTTTCAGGCTGTCAGTTTGGTGTGGCAGAAGGAAGGACTGGGGAATGAGTATCCTAGGGCTAAGATTTAATTTTGTCCATGTTTAGATTTGGTTTTCTACTGTTCCTCCTGCTTGCAACAGGGATGTTAACCCTTGTCTGTCCCACTATTGTGTTTTCAAAGTACGTAACTTAGTTTTGATTTTACAGAGCTCATAGCTGATGGTTTGGTTTGAGACTCAGGAGACTGGCTTTGGACTTTTCAGCAATGGTAGAAGTGTTCCTGCAGTGAGACTCTGGGAGAGGGACTGAATGCATTGATAAAGAGCAGCAGCCTGCAAGGGAGCAGGGACAAGGTCCTCCATCTTAGTCCCCTTCCTAAAGGTTCTGTCTCCCAGTCCATGCAGTACATGAGTCAGTGGGGGACATTAGATCCCAATAGTAAAATAAAAAGTAAGCATTGAAACCCCCGATTTTGCTATCTTGAAGAGAAAGAGAAAAAACAAAAACAAAAACAAAAAAAACCCAAAACCCCTGATCTCAACCATTGCGCTTACGAAGGACAGACTGGAGCCTTACAATTAGAAGCCTCCACTGAGCACTAAGCATTCATCCTTAATTTTTTTTTTAAGTATTTGTTTTTTTTTTTTTTTTTTAAAGATTCATTTATTTATTATGTATACAGTGTTCTTTATGCTTGCTGGTCAGAAGAGGGCACCAGATCTCACTACAGATGGCTGTGAGCCACCATGTGGTTGCTGGGAATTGAACTCAGGACCTCTGGAAGAGCAGGCAGTGCTCTTAACCTCTGAGCCATCTCTCCAGCCCTCATCCTTAATTTTTGTGTTCTTCCTTTCTGGTGCGATTCATTAGCAAATACTCTCCCCATTTCTGAGCTACTCATAAGTGTATCATGATAAACTTTGTCAAATACTTTTAGAATCAGGAGCCCTCGAGTTTAGTAATCTTTTATTTTTAAGTTTCTTTCGAGATGCTTTTTATTTTACATTGTAAGTATGAATGGTCTGCCCGAGTGCATATATTTGCACCACATGCATATCTTTTGGATCCCCTGGAAATGGGGTTATAGATGTTTGTGAGCCACCGCATGGGTGCTAGGAATTTATTCAGGTCCTTTGCAAGAGCAGCAAGTGCTCTTAACCACTTAATCACCGTCTAGCCATTTGTCTGGTCCGTAGTCCTTTAGATAAAGGTTTTCATGTGTTAACAGCTTCTAAGTCCTGAGGTCCACTGAGCCTGGGTCCTGCTTATACAGGTTGAGTTTCTCTTATTCGAGCTTTGGGACCAGGGATGTTGGATTTTGGAATTTTAAAGACTTTGAAATATTACATAGTGTGATGTCTTGAGAATGGCCTCAGAGTCTAAACATGAAATGTGTTTGTTTCACATGTGCCTCAAACACATTGTCTGACGTTAACTCTATACAAAACTTCAGCACATTCTTGTTTTCTGTGCTTTTATGTTGTTCTTGTTTGCTGCTGGCATTTACTTTTAGTTTAGTTTTATACGTTTTTTTAATTTAAATTTTATTTTATGTGTATGGGTGTTTTCCTGCATATGTGTCTGCTGTGCACCACTTATATGTGTCTGGAGCTTGAAAGGCCAGAAGGGGGCATTGGACCTTCTTGGACAGTTGTTAGCTGCCATGTGGGTGCTGAGAATAAAACCAAGAACACGTGCTCTGAACCACTAAGCCAGCTCTCCCTCTCCTGTTTCTTGAGGAAGGGTCTTGCTATGTATGCTTCCCAGCCTAGCCCGGAAGTCCTGAACTCTAGTCTTTCAGCGTCATGCCCCTAAGTGGCTGGAGAACACACCCCATCCTACTTTCCTGCCTACCTGTGACCAGCCTTTTCTACGAGACGATATGTTTTTAATGCCATGTTGGTACTCAAAATGTTTCAGACTTCAGAGCCTTTTGAAATTTTACTATACTGTTCTACTCCTCTGTGTTCTTGTTTTCGTTTCCCACTGTTCTAGACCAGTGGTTCTCAGCCATTCTCATGCTTCGGCCATTTAGTAGTTTCTCCTGCTGTGGTGACCCCCAACCATAAAATTGTTTTTGTTGTTACTTCATGACTGTGATCTTGATACTGTTGTGAATTGTAATGCAAATACTGATATGCAGGATGTATTTTCATCATTACAAATGAACCCAAAGGGGTCTTGACCCACAGGTTGAGAACCACAGTCCTAGAATCTTGTTTTTCCAGTTTTCCTTTATAATTTCACCTTTATCTTCTTAATATAAAAATGTATTTGAATCTCGTTTAAGCAGTAAAAACAGTACACGGAGCACAGCAGTGATCTTGCATGGCTGGCCTTGCCTTGTGTCACTGCCTGCCAGCTTTTACCTTCCTTTCCCCACCACCAGTTTGAAGAACAAACTTGAGGGCTATCTCGTCAATTAATAAATGAACTGCTTTGTGTCTCTTCCCCATTGCCTGCTCTCTTTTGAACCGAGAACCCCATCTTTCCCTTCTTTGAATGCAGGGATTCACTGTTTATCTCCAGCTGGCTTGGCCACCCAGAGATCCGCTTCCTGGGTTTAAAGGTGTGTACACCACACCTAGCCAGAACCCAAAATTCTTAATAGTGACTTTAAGTATTAAAAGCAGGATAGAATCTATCTCTCCCCTCAACTCCAATTTAATTTATTGATGATGATTTTTATATGAGATTCTCTCAGCACAATTGAGGTTTCTTTGTAGCCATGTTGCTTTTGAGTTCAGGCTAAACTGTACATAAAGCTAAATACCACCAGGATTATAAAAAACACACATTTTTTTCTTTAATACTTGTAGTGTTGCAAGATGCCCTGTCACTATCACGATATTTCACTCTGTCATTTTAGCCCCATACAGCAATAGGCACAGTTTAATTGTGGGTATAGCTGTGTTGTAGTTAAAGATTGTTTATAATCGGCAGGCTGGAGCCCTTGTTTGCTTACCCCTGTCCTGGTGAGAATGACAAACCTTAGTATCCCAGGTGGCTACCGAAGGAGGAAGACCACCAAAGGGAGAGATAACAAAAAGGTGTTTCTTGAGCTCTGTGGGATACATGAACTCATATCTTGAATATAGTTTTTTTTTCTCTGCTATTTTCATACTTCATTTAAAAAGCTAAGAACAGGGCTGGAGAGATGACTCAGAGGTTAAGAGCACTGGCTGCGCTTCCAGAGGTCCTGAGTTCAATTCCTAGCAACGACATGGTGGCTCACAGTCATCTATGAGATACGGGGACCCCCTTCTGGTGTGCAGGTACACATGGAGGCAGAACACTGTATACATAAAAAAATGAATAAAGTCTTTTTAAAAAAGATAATAGAAATTACATTTGATCTTAGTCGAAAAGAGGAGGAGTAGAGGAATGAGTTACATCTGGGTAATTTTATACCTGCACCCACCTTTTACCTACAGGAGGGAAGCCTTCTGTAGCAGCATTGGCCTGTAGGAGAGACTCCATAACCCTGGCACTGAAGCCGTTCCCTTGGGTTAGTCAGGAGAATTGTGAACACTGGCCTGCAGTGTCACCACTCAGTAGCCATTTTCTGCCTCAGTTTACCTAACTGGTGCTGGCTAGAACAGGGTGTGGTTAGTGCTTTGTTTTCTTTTTTCTGTCTTGCTAACATTGAGCTGCTGTCTTTATGCTCCTAAAAAGAGAAACTGACACCCCAGACCATTAATAAGCTGTGAGTATGATCTCATTGCCGCAAGTTTTGTTGCATGTTTTAGTGGCTGTTCTACAAATTTTAGACTGTCACACAAACAAAAACACTTGTGTGGAGACTAATGCATTTCAAGGACTACCCGCCCCAGCCTTTCATATGAATTGAAGAAACTGAAGCTGGGGCAGACTGACATACACACACCAATCAGCAGCAGAGCCAGGGCTCGCAGCCTGGTTTCTTAGCTTTCGACTCAACAATGTCATCAAGCTGTCTTTCCTGACAGGATGGGAGACATCGGTTTTTCAGCCTAGAAAATAGTAGAAGTTATGATGTGATAAACTATCCAAACATATGCATAGGCACTATGATGCGAATCTTAACAATACTGGGATTAGAAAGTGTAGTAAATGCATTTGTACAGGTCTGCTTATATTCAAAAGTAATTTTCTGTAATTACCCATATGAAACTTTTCTTTAAAATGAATGGATGTATGGAGAATATACTCTAATTTGAATACTTCAGATCAGTCTCTAAACTGTTTTTTGTTTGTTTTGTTTTTGTTCTTTCATTCTCTTTCAGAAAGATGAGGTCTACCTTAATCTGGTGCTGGACTTTGTTCCGGAAACAGTGTACAGAGTTGCCAGACACTATAGTCGAGCCAAACAGACACTCCCTGTGATCTATGTCAAGGTATGTAACAATGGAACAGCTTCCAGTTTGCAAAACATTTGATATGAGCTATGCAGAATATTGGATTTGTTTCAACGCTGTTGATACTGCATTTACTCCAGAAAAGCAGCAAACTAGATTTTGTTAGGTTCTTACTTGGTTTTGAGGCATGGAGTCCTTTGTACAGTTTTCATTACTCCACAAGGATAGAAGTGCTTGCTGTGCAAGCCTGGTCACTCGGGTTCTATTTTAGGACCTACATGGAGGTGGAAGAGAACCAACTCTAGGAAGCTGTCCTCTAGGCCTGCACACGCGTGCTAGGTTTTGTGTGCCCTATCTCACACACATCCTGTTGGAGGCACATGCACATGAGATACATTAATTGGAATAGATAATCTGATAAGATACAGATACTTTCATAGTGAGGGATTGATAGCCATAACACCTTGTGTGTGTGGTATGGGGTGAGGCACAAGGCCGGAGGAGGAGACGTGCTTTCTCCTCTGTAGCCTCCCTCCCACCTTTGCCTTGAGAAGGTCTCTTACTGACCCTTACAGAAGCTCATGGTGTGGGCTCGCCTGGGTCTCCCTTTCCACCCAGAGCTGGGGTCACAGCCAAGTGCAGCTAGTCCCAACTTTTTACACAGGCTCCGGAGATCCAAACTCAGGTTTTCGTGTGTGTGCAGCAAATACTCTAATCCTGAGAGACATCTCCCAGCCCCATAACATCATTTTAGTTTAAGATGTCTTTGTTGTACCACACAGCACAGCAGGAACCTACTAAGTAAATTTATAGTTATTAGTATCTTCATTTTAATGCTTTATTACTATTTGTAGACATATTTATTACATTTATTACAATTGTAGAAATTTAAACTTGTCAGTTTTAAACATAAACAGATATTCTTTAGTTTTTGGTATCTAATACTAATAATAATATTAGTGTTATTAAAATATGAACTAATTTCAAAGTAGCTAGGAATTTATCTAGTAGAATCCTAATCACAGTTGTGGTAGATGATTAGAAACATATTTTTCCTCTCTTTTGGAGTGAGGTAGGGGAGGAATGAACAGGATATTTTCTGTGGCTTGGAACTTTTGATATTTGTAGCAATCCTCTTGCTTCATTCAGCCTCCTGAGTGCTGGGATTAAAACTGTGAATTACTGAATCTAATTAGAGACATATTCTTATTATCTGTGCCATCAACAAGGGGTTGTTTGAATTTTCTTTTCTTTTTCTTAATGGCAGCAATATAATTAGTAACTTATTTTATCCCACACTTGACATAGAGCTGTCTTGGAGTAATAATCCAAACACTGCCATCTTCAACTGAAAATAATTTAAAGCTCGGGGTAGGGGTGGGAAACGGGTACATAACTGACTTGAAGTTAAGAACAGTATATACACTAAAGAGGAAATTGGGCTGCTAAAGGGGCTCCTCTCCTCACAAGGGATCGTGAATAAATCATTTTATGGTCAGACTTTAATGGAGACCGGGTTTCTCTGTTTAGCCTTAGGCTGTCCTGGAACTCAACTCTGTAGTCCAGGCTGGACTTGAAGTCACAGAGATCCACTTGCCTCTGCCTCCTGAGTGCTGGGATTAAAGGCGTGGGCGCCGCCACCACCACCAATCTATTGTTTTTATATGTTGTTTGTTTTTTAAATCAGACGCTACCTCTCTGATTTGAATCATTACAGCAATGATTTCCTTGGTGTTAACTGGGAGTAGAGCTCATAAAGTAAGCATGTAGAAAGATTTAAAGTGAGCCTGACTGGATAAGGGCACGTGTTTACAGTCTCCGCAGTCTGGAGTGAGAGGGCGTGACAGGATGAAGGCCAGCTTGTAGAAAGCCGGAGTCTGTCATGGGAGAGATTACAGATAAGTAAGTAAATACATAAGGAGGGAGGGAGGAAAGAAAGAAGAAAAAGAATGAATCACAATGTTGGTCTTGAAATAAATAGAATATTTATTTATTGAGGCCTAATAGTTCTGGAGGATAAGGTGCATCAAGGTGGGAGCGCACGGGGCAGCCGTCACGTTCAGAGGATATGCGGTGCGTGAGCTTCCCTTCTTCTTGTATGCAGTTCAGGAACTTCACCCATTGAATAATGCAGCCCACATCCAGATGGTTTCCCTTCTCAGTCTAGAAATGCCCTTACAGACGTGGTTATTCTAAGTACCGTCAAGCTAGCAATTAAGATTTACCATTAGCCAGGCTGTGGTGGCACGTGCCTTTAATTCCAGCAATTAGGAGGCTGAGGCAGGCGGATCTCTGTGAGTTCGAGGCCAGCTCTGGTCTAGTTCCAGGACGGGCTCTAATACTACAGAGAAACCCTGTCTCAAAACAAACAAACAAACAAACAAAGGATTGATCATCCCAGTGTCAGTGGCGTCTGTTTGTTTGATTTTCAAGACAGGGTTTTTCTGTGCAGCCCTGGCTGTCCTCAAGATTACTCTGTAGACCAAGCTGGCATTGAACTAGGGGATCCCCCGGCCTCTGTTATTAAATGGCATTGGAAATCTACATTATTCTGAAAGATGATAATTCTACTTACTAGCAGAGTTACTGATGTCTCAATAGGCAGTTGATTAGATTTCTTACTCTACCTGTGAGTTTTCCTAGGCCTTGATTAATGATTTCAGAAAGACAAAAAAAAAAAAAAAGGCTAACATTTCAGAAAGATAAATGATACTAAATATGACACTATGCTTTTATAACCTGAGATACTAGAAAGAATAATGAGCCTGACTTCTGATCTAAAAGCTGCTATCTATCACCCATATGGCTTTTATGATCTCTCTCTGAGCTCTTCATCTGTGTTTTAAGTAAAAAAAAAATCTATTGAGCTGTCTTGAGGTGAGATGTTAAAGTGGGTGAAGGGGATTAAGTCCTGGACTTGGTGCCTGCCTGGCAAGTTCTCTGCTGCTTAGCCACGTTCCCAGGCCTCTGTACATTTTGAGATATGGTCTCACTGAGTTGCCCAGGTAGGCCTTAAACTTGGACTTCTCCTGCCTCAGTTGTATGCCACCATGCCCGGATCCTTTTCTAAGTTACTAAAGAATAGCATAAATACATGTTTTATGATACTTTGATTCCCTAATTTATGTAGAAATAGCATACAACTTATTTGGGGAAAACTGTGTACTAATGATCATCAGCATTTTCGAGGTCTGCCCAGAGTGTTATTCATTTACTGCACAATGATTCAGCAATGTTGGAAACCAGAGGTATTAAATTCATGTCTGTTATTTATTCCAGTTGTATATGTATCAGCTGTTCAGAAGTTTAGCCTATATCCATTCCTTTGGAATCTGCCATCGAGATATTAAACCACAGAACCTCTTGTTGGATCCTGATACAGCTGTATTAAAACTCTGTGACTTTGGAAGGTAAGCTAGTTTTCTCACTCACTTCCCTTTCCTCATACTCTCTTCAGTATATTACAGTGGTAGTCTGGACCCTGTAATCCTTTCTCAGGGAATATAAATTATTGTAGCTCGTGAGAATGGTCTTGTTAATTTGTGTTGGAATAATAAATTTGTGTACCTTTCATCTAACATGTAACTTTTGAGGATTATTTCCTTATACAGGTTGAAAGATTAAGTATGTTTAGAGATTTTTAAAATAATAATATAATTGTTATTAATATCTAGTAGCAATAAAATATCCAAACAAGTTATGATATATACAAATACAGTGTTCTACATGGCACTGAGGAAAACACGAGGGAATTGTCTGAACTGGAAAGGAATGACATCTAGGAAGTATTAAAGGAGGAAAGTCAGGGCCGGCAAAATGGCTCACTTGGGAAAGGCATTTGCTATCAAGACTGAACTTGAGTTTGATCCCTGGAACTGACTTGGTCCTGCAAGTTGTCCCCTGACCTCCACAGAAGTACAGACATTCAAGCTGATGACTGTGGTGACACCTGCTGATAACCCAAGTGCTCAGCAGACTAAGGTGTTTGAGGCTGAGCTAAGCCACATGGTAAACCCGTGCAAACAGAACTGCTGCCCCATTAGTACTATAGAGGTTTGGGGGTGAGCGTGGTGTAAAACACATGAATGCCTGATCATGGCTTATTTCTAAATTAATAAGTAATGTCCCAGACATGATTTCTTGTGGGATGGAACATTTTTCAGATTATTATATACTCAAGAAACTTGCATACTTATTCATCTTTAGTACTGCTTGAGTTTATGTAATGTGTGTGTGTGTGTGCTCCATTTTCATTACAAATAATTTTTTTAAGTTATACACACACACACACATCCTTTTAACTTCACTTAACCTCAATTTAGAAGTGAGGTACAACATCGAGAAACCGTATTTAGTTTGATTTCTTAAACCAATTTCTTGATCATACACTGTTTCTTAGTAGAAAAACGCGATGCTTTCGCTTTCGGTAGTCAGTGGCTGTAAGCCTCCCCACGTGCAGTCAAGCCTGTGTCCATAGTAGGATAGAGCATCACACATACTCTGTGACAGCCACCAGCAAAACTCTCCCCTTTGTTCTGAAACATCTGTCTTTATAACTTGGATTCTCTCCTGTCTAATTTTTTTCCATCCTTGTTAGAAATTCTTCTTTTTCAGTTTAGCACCACCAATTATATATTGACCCATACTTCTACGTCTTTTATAAAGACTTTACACCAAACCGCAGAGTGAATTGTGGGTTTAACAACAGATATATTTTCCCTGGGTGCAGGGAGATACTGGAAGAAAGTGAACAAATCTGCTGTCAGTAAGTTGGTTCTTCCTCTCATTCCGCACCTTGTTCAAACATCCCTGTTTGCAATTTTGATTATAAACCCTCCCAGTATCTCACTCTGCAGGCTGTGGCTCTCTGAAAATATGCATCTAACGTTCACATTTGATGGTTGGAACGGAGCCCCACAGTGTATTTCATGTAGGAAAAGCTGCCTGGATTAGCTAGGGCTTGTTATTTGTGCAGTGCCTCGCCGTGGAAAGCAGATGCTAAGTACTGTCAGAGCACTGTTGGCACTGGGATTCTCCTGGGATGTAAAGTGGCTTTGTCCTCATAAGTTGAAGAAGGAACTCACACAGGTGTGGAACTAGCCCATTCATACCAGCTCTGAAGTAGGACTTTGCAGACACTCCATGCTCTTAGGTACTAGGGTGGCAGAAACTTAGTTGAACAGTCTTATGTTCTCCTCAATAATTTTTTACTAGGTGAAGAAAGGCCTGGCAGTAGCAGGAAGGGACCAGAATCGCTGAGGTCACAAGTTAGAGAGTCAAAACCTCTCACTTGCAAAAGAAAAAGTTAGCTTCATCAGTATTGAGGGGGTAGAATAGCCAGGCTGTAAAAGCTGTCAGTTATATAATTTTGACTTATTGTAAAATTTCTTACAATATTTAAGAATCTGTTTGTCAATTAAAAGTGGACCTTGTTTATTTTGGTTTTGAGACAGAGTCTCTCTGTAGCCCTGTCTGTCCTAGAAACTCACTGCCTTTGCCTCCCAGTGGTGTGCTGGGACTTAGGCCATGTCCTGCCGTTTGTTTAAATTCTACATCCTAGGCTATATTCAAGGAGCTATATTCTAAGCCCCCAAAGTGCACTCTGAAGGTGGAAAAGTCCTAAGTGTCTTGATTTTCTGATGGCTGAAAACATTCTTAATGTATCAAGTGGTTGTTTTATGTGGGCCTGAGAAGGTTAAATTTTGAAACTGCTAATGAAGGGAAAACAAGTTTAGCATGATCATTGACTAAAAGTAAATTGGGGGGAAGGAAGCCTAGACATTAGGTTGGAGGACCATTTCTCCTGGCTGTGTCTTTGCCTTCCTGTACCTTTAGCTCGGATATTTTCTGATTTGATTTTGTGTGTATTTATCTCCTGTGTCAGTGTATCTCGTAGGTCAGCTTGCTGATTTGGAGTGGGGTCATCTGAGGGACACTGTAATTCACGTCAGTGTTTAAGTCTATATACTGTAAAGTACTTTAGGAGCAAAATTGTAATAATATGTAAACAGAGATAGAATTTATAAGTCCTGAGTTGTTTTTCCCCTGAAGTTGAATGCCTTTTTGCAGTTTGTTTAGTAACAGGTGTTTAGACAGTTAGCAAACTGAATAGAATATAAGAGCATGGATAGTTTGGTTATGTAAACCTTGAATTGGTCATCCTGAGTCAGAAGTCCAATTTAAAAGCAGAGGGCAGTTTCTCACCCTTTTTTTTTTTAAAAAAAAAAAGCATGTAGGTGAAGGGTATTGATACATTCATCTGTTCTGATCTAGTCTCACTCTTTACATTTCCTGCCCCTTATCTTTATATTTTATTTAATTATTATATATGAGACGGGGTTTCCCTGTGTAGCTTTGGCTGACCAAGAAGTCTCACTGTAGATGAGGCTGGCTTCCATCTCACAGAGGTTCAGCTGTCTCTGCCTCCTGAGTGCTGGGATTGCACCACTGTGCCTGGCAACCATTTTTATATTTCAGAAACAGAATTCAGGAAACAGGGGACCCAAAAAATTCAAAATCTGTATCCTTTTGTAATTTTTAATCTCTTTGTTTTTTTAGGTAACACTTGACAAATGCTTCCTTTAAAAATCACTACTTTTTTATACCAGTTTGATGAGATTGCGTATTTCTTTGTAAACAGTTACAAGTGTGTTGTTGCATTATTGCAGTCTTCTGAGGCTTAGGTAAATGTGGTGTGTGAAATGCTCATTTCTTTGATGTATGGATTTAAAGATTGCTTTTTATCTCTATTTTTTCATTAGTGCAAAGCAGCTGGTCCGAGGAGAACCCAATGTTTCATATATCTGTTCTCGGTACTATAGGGCACCAGAGTTGATCTTTGGAGCCACTGATTATACCTCTAGTATAGGTGAGTACAAAACCCAAATATAGTGCTTATAACTGGTCATTGCACCCTGATTCTTAAGAGTTTCTCCAACAGGGAAAGGGCATGGCTGCAATATATTTTTGCAGAAATGTGTAGAACTAAATTTAACTAAAATTAACCTTTTAGACTTTAATGTGTATTTTTCTATTTCTATGCTTTTTAGCATTCAAATTGTAAAAGTATTATTTTGTATTGTAGTTGGTTAATGCATTTGTTTTGAACTTAAAGTTTCAAATGAAGTGTAAGTACTATAGCTCTTTTATTAAGTTTATTTAAAAGATTAATGAGGCAAGGATGAATGGCAGGAAGATGCATGCCATGGCATGCATGCGGAGGTCAGAGGACAACTTTGGAGTCTGCTTTCTCCTCTGTCCTTATGTAGGTTCTGTGGATCAGACTCAGGCCTTCAGCTATGCAATGCAAGAATTTTTATCTCCTGAGCTGTCTCATGGATCCTGTATTAGTTTTCTAGTTCTCCTGAAATATTTACTTCTGAGCCTGATACCTACTTAGATAACTGATTAATTAATAATGTTACTTTTAAAATGTTAATACTGTAATTGATAAGGCAGTAATATTTTCGAATTTCTACTGTATGCATTACTTAATTTTTGGTCAACTTAACTCATTAGTTCAGCTACACCCACTGGTTGTTTAAAAGTTTCACTAGAAATATCTAGTGATACAAGGATTAGAGAGAGTTGAAATCTTCATTAACCTGTCTTACCTGTTCTAGTACATTTGCTGTGTCAGCACAAAGACCATGATCCTCTGGATCTGAAAAGCAAGACAAAATCCATCAAACTTAAGGCTAGGTTTGATAAGGGACAAAATGATTTTATTTCATATTTTAATTGTGTGTGCATGGGGTTGGGAAGCTGAGACTGACATCAGGTATCCTCTCCCTGAGCTGTAAAATGAAAATGATGGCTAATTCTCCCTACTTTTCATGGTTACTATGAGAAGTAAATAAAATGTTACTAAAGTACTATAGGAATAGAAGGTGACTTTCTTAGTATATTTATTAACTCAGTGGTCCCCAAGAGCAAATTTAACCCTTTGTCCTTGGGAATGTCATTCGATATTCTAATTGATCAGTGTCTTATTCAAATGTTTGATATTGGTTATCTATACTATATATACCTATATGGAAGATACTGTATTGAGTTGTGCCAGGCTCACCTAAAATAATTACAGTCAAATTGTCTGACACATGGATCGTTTATGTAAGCCTAACAAGCATGGATTTGGCCCATTTTTAGATCTAAGATGCTTTCTTCTTAAAGTTTTTAAAATTTATGTGTATAAAGTGTTTTGCTTGTATATATCCACATATATATACATATATATGCCTGCATATGTATATAGATAACACGTGCATACTTAGTGCCTGTAGAGGTCAGAAGAGGATGTCGAATTTCTTAGAATTGAAACTATGGATGGTTGTGAACCATCATTTGGATGCTGGGAATCTAATGAGGTTCTCTTCAAGCGCAGAAAGTGCTCTTAATGAATGAGCAGTTTCTCCAGCCCTGATCTTGGTTCCTAAGGCTAAGTAAGATTTGTTTGTGCACACAGGAACCAGAGGCAAGTAGATCTCTTGTGAATTCCAGCCAACCTAGGGCTTACATAGTGAGTCAGCCCTAGTTTCTCTATGTGTGTCTCCCTGTCTCTCCCTTTCTTTACTCTCACACACACATACTGTAAGAGATGAATACTTATAAATAACATGTATTTGTTAAAAAATAAAAAGGGTTCAAGCATATGAATAGTTTTTTTAATTAGCAATATGTGGGATGAAGCCATCACTGATTCTGACTAAATTATTGTCATTTGGATATAACCAGTGCTATGTGATAAAAATAAGATATAGATTTCACCTCAAATTATAGTGTTATAACCTCCCCCCTTTTTTTCTTCAGATGTATGGTCTGCAGGCTGTGTGTTGGCTGAGTTGTTGCTAGGACAACCAATATTTCCTGGGGACAGTGGTGTGGATCAGTTGGTGGAAATAATAAAGGTGAGATGGTTGAGGTATACTTTTGAACCAAAAATGCCATACACACAGACCCCCCCCCCCAAAAAAAATACAGAACAACATTTAAACAGTGGGGAAATGATCCAGATGTGAAAACATGTACAAACACGAGGACCAGAGTTTGAGTCCCCAGAAACCCGTGTGAGTGTTGACTGGGCCTGACATTTTCTGCCGAGAGAGCTCAGAGTAAGCTGGTTGGAAAGAGTAGCTATATTTGCAAGCTCTGGTTGAAACCCTATGTAAATAAATATTGTGGAATAGTGACCAAGGATGGTTGCTGATCTTGGGCCTACGTGTACACGTGTACACATAGGGATAAAAAAGGAGAAAGGAATTGTAAGTTATTTAGCCTGCTGTGGTATAGAACAGGTTTTTAAATAAACATTTAGGTTTTTTTAAGATTTATTTTTATGTTTACCATATGAAAATTTTTTTTGCCTGCTTGTATAGTTGTGTATTACCTGTGTGCACAGTGATCCCAGAAGCTAGAAGAAGGTGTTTGATCCCTTGGATCCTCAAACTGGGGTTACAGATCATTGTGAGCTGCCACATGGATTCTGGAATCAAACCTGTATCCTCTGGGAGAGCAGCCAGTGGTGTTAGTCACTGAGACATCTCTCTAGCCCCATGATTAAATTATTTTAAGGTCTATTTCATAATTAAATATTTTTCCTTTTAATATAAGGAAAAATAGAGGCTCCGTGTCACTGTGTCCAGATACAGTTGAAAAGGCCAGTGGTTGGTCATCTTCTTTCAGTCTGTGTTTAGTTGGGTTATGCAGCTGAGACCACTTTTTGGTAGCGATTTTTAATTTCAGACTGAAACCTTAACTTTATTAACAATACTGCTTTTTTCCTTAAAGATTAGAAAAACGTAGTGGAAGTCATATAAGAACACAAAGCAATCTTGTAGAAGACTTTAAAGTGTAAAAAATATTGTTCAGTATTTTTGAGACAAGAACTGGGCATTGTAAACAGACTCTGTGTCTCAAAGGGAGTGATACTTTTAGAACTTCTGAGAAAGGACTGCTGTTTATTTGGGCTTTGGTTTAATTCAGGATTTTCCAGATATCGACCATCTCCCTTCCTGCTTAATATTCCTTTCTTGACTACTCCACTCACACAGAGATTTGCCTAGAAATTTTTTAAATGTTTGGTTCCTGTGAATATATAGCAAACAGTTTTCCACTTTTATGTCAGTGGTTTACATTTTCACAGATAAGTCAATGTTTTTTATATTGTGATACATTTTTTTTATTACTTTATAAATAATACTATTCAAAATTTCCACTTCCTCCCCTCCTCCTACTCCCCCACTGGCCCTTCCTCCTCCCCCTCCAGTCCTAAGAGAGGGCAGGGTACCCTGCCCTGTGGGAAGTCTAAGGCCCTCCCATCTCCATCCAGGTCTAGGAAGGTGTGCATCCAAACAGACTAGGATCCCAAAAAGCCAGTACATGCAGTAGGATCAAAACCCAGTGCCATTATCATTGACTTCTCAGTCAGCCCCCATTGTCAGTCCGGTTTGATCACATGCTCGTTTAGTCCCAGTCTAGGTGGCTTTGGTGCACTCCCATTAGCTCAGGCACACTATCTCAGTGGGTAGACCAAACCCCTCACGGTCCTGACTTCCTTGCTCATCTTATCTTCTCCCTCTTGCTCTTCAAATGGACCTTGGAACTAAGTCCAGTGCTCTGATTGGGTCTTTGTCACTATCTCCATCCATCACCAGATGAAGGTTCTATGGTGATATTCAAGATATTCATCAGTATGACTATGGGACAAGGCCAGTTCAGGCACCCTCTCCTCTGCTGCCCAAGACCTAGAGGAAGGGCGGATATGGGAGCAGGGAAGAAGATACCTTGAGTCAATTTTTTAAAAAAGATTTATTTATTTTATGTATACAGTGTTCTGTATGCATATGTACCTGCCAGAAGAGGGCACCAGATCTTATTACAGATGGGTGTGGTTGCTGGGAATTGAACTCCGAACATCGGGAAGAGCAGTTCAGAACTTCTTAGCCATCTCTGCAGCCCCAGAATAGTCAACTTTTTAAGGGAGGACAGGGACTTGTTCCCAAGTATAAATTTCTTTATGAAGCAAAGACTGATAGCTAAAATACTTTTGATAAAGAATAAATTGGAAGACTCATGTCCTAGTCTCAAGACTTAAGTGTTCAGTTGCACATGAATGGGATAAATTGAAAGTCAAGAAATTTTTTTTTCTGTTTTTGAATTTAGAGTACTATTAGGACCCTGAACCTTTTCTCTCCCCAATATGATATTTTTATTGATTATTTGGGAATTTCACATAATGCACCCCAATAAGAAATAAATCTCTATATTATAGCTAATTGACTTTTTTTTTGGACATGAATTCCAAGATAGTTCAATAGGAGAAAACAGTCACCAGAGGCAGGAATACTTGGACTACTGGGTA